GCACTTGGGCAAGCAGAAAACTTTCACTACTAACACACAATTTCAGAACCCTGATCTTGCTTCCCTCTTCACCCAGGACTCAAAGACTGTCCTTCTTTTGCTTGCCACAGAAATCTCCCTCCTTTCCATGAAAGTTTCAAATCCCTTTCTCTGCCACTACAAGCTATAGTTACTAATCCTGACCTGATTGCTTACCTCGCTTCCAAACACCAAGAAAGCTCACTCCATGCTACTTTGCATTTCCACATCAACACCACTTAACCAGGGGGGAGGAGGGAAAGGGAAGGTACTCTGTTGTCTACTCAATATTTCACTATGATGATTTGTGACTCTTAAAACATACTAGGTCTTTTTTGAAAACCAGCACTGCCCAAAATGCCTTGGGTTTTGTAAAGACACTGCCTAGAGAACTAGCTTAAAAATGGTTCAGGGCACAATCAAATTGCTGATGAATAGGTCAAAAGGAACAAAAATAGTGATCCTGGGGCCTTCCCCATGTTATCTAATATTTCTGCTGAATACAGTACTTACATGCATACCTTCTCACTTCATTAGGCATGTTTCATTCATGAATGCCCATTTTCCATGGAACTATTGCTTTTAAGGTTAACGTGAAGGAAAAATAATTTAACTTCAGGTCAATAATAACAACTCTACAAAAACAGTAATGATGAGCATCCAAAACTATTTAGTAGTCTTCTCAATCCCTCACAGAGCCTCTGCTTTCCTTTAAAATAATACAGTACAATGTAAGCAAGTTTCATTTCATACAGGATAACACAAAATACTACTGTAAACTTGAAAACCAGTGCACTGCTTCCCCCATAAGCACATTGGGAGTGCTAGTCATGATCTCTAAAAGCCTAACTGGTCTGTGACTCAGTTATCTGAACAATCACCTGTCTTCCATCATTAGAATTACTATCCACTGGGGGGGGAGGGATAGCTCAGTGGTTTGGGTCACTCTCGCTATCTCAGAATTAAACTAGCAAAGGCCAGGTGCTGGTTGTTCTCTGGGGGTGACCCAATACCTCCCTACCAGCTGTCCACCAAAATCTAAGGTTGGAGAACTTCAAGACACAGCCTGACATGCATTTCTGGTCAAGTTTTTGATTGATTTAAGGATCAATTTAACAGTTGAGATGGGGGGGGGGTTGTTTAATTTTGTGACCTTTCCATGGAGGTTGATTATTTCCCATTATTTTATTAATGTTTTTTAAATTACGTAAAGTTTTCAGATGATTTAGTGATGAGTGCCAAAACACATTTCTAAACAAGGATAAATAAATATTAGGAAAATAAAGTATGTTATTCAAATATGACAGCTCTTCCACAAAATGTTATGACTCTATGGTAAAGATAGGTTAGCTGAAGTTTTGAAATACAAGGCTTCGTTACTATCAAAGATCTCTTACGGAACATTGTAAACTGTAAAATAACATTTATTTCTGAAAAACTGTTACCGACTATTGTTATTTGTAATCCCCAAAATTACTATAACTGACAAAGATTAGAGAAAAAGACCCGCTGTACATTTGAGACCATGTGTGTGTAGTCAGTGTCATGATTTCTCAAAAACAGGTGACACTAACTGATTATATATAAGAGAATTGGTCAATACAGCAGGGGAGAGAAAAAATACATTAAAAAACGTCACTATTACACTACAAAAAGTAGCAGGGAAACTCAGGGCAGGTATAATACCTGGAACTAACTTTAATTCATGTTTTGAAAAGGATTAGATTTTGAGCCAATGGTGTCCCTTTAAAAAGCTTACAGTTATTTTTACTAAGATGCCTTACCTAGGTACAGTGATGCATTTTCTTTCTTGACATTGTCATCTAAGTAGGTTGGTCCCAAGGTATAGATGGGTGTGGAGCCCATGCCAATGAGAATTTGGGCACAAATGAATAAAGCTACATAGAGGGAGTGATCATTTCCGCCTGAGTCCTTGACACAGGCTGGTGACTCCAAATGGTCTTTGGCGGTATTATTGCCAGTCACGCACAAGCCCTCGTTAGAGAGGGAAGAGTTCAATTCTTGGATCTGATATGGTGGAGAGATGAAATGAGGTAAAGAAAAAAGTGCAGCCCCAAGAGCAATGAAAAACCCACCTACAGCAAGCCAGAGTGGCCTCCGTCCACGCCCCCCAAAGTAACTGATGAACACCACGATCACCAGACTACCAATATCAAAACAGCTGACCAGCAGCCCAGACTCAGAGCTTTTCAAACTGTACCTCCTCTCAATGGTGGTAATAACACTGCTCAGATACCCAGAGACCATTAAGGACTGAATGAAGGTCAGAAAGCACATGCACACCAAGAAGAAACGGGAATCTGTCAACACCACGCTGAGACACTTTCTACCTGGGAGAGCTAGCAACGTGGAAGCTGGGGAAACACCTTTGCTTGTGCCAGCAAAGTTATTACAGTCTGTCCTCTCAGTGAAACTCCCAACCCCTGAAAAGCTGGAGGCTGTGAAAGAAAACACAGTCCCAGAAGCAGCAGCAGCAGCAGCACCGTTACTGTGAGCTGATTTGTCCGTGTCAAGGCCACATCTCAGGTCAGACCTCTCTTGGAAACTGCGCAAGAAACTTCGTTTTGTCTCAAGGAGGGTGCTTTGTGTTGTGGTAATCCGAGGAGCAGACCTGTTCAGAGCTGGCAAACTTCTGGACCTGACGCTCTCCGCTTGATCCTCCGGCTGCTGTTCTCTGGGGGAGAATGGATGCTGCTGCTTTATCGCCGGCAGCGCCATGCTGGCAGCAACTCTGGTTTGCGTTAAGTTAAAAAACAAACAAACATCGGACACATTGTATTGTTCAGTTAGAACCTCCGTTGCCATTTCATCATGTAAACCCAAGGAAGTGTAACATATTCTCTGTGGATTTACTTTCCCAACTCCAACACACAACTAACCATGGCACATATCAGTGTATAAGAGCACGTGTCTAGCAGTGTCCTTTGTGGCTCCATCCTTCTTAGCGCTTCTTAGGGAGCCGTCCTAGCAGCCGAGCTATGAACAGCTTGGACGGTGCCTCTATCCTTCTGCTGGAACATTTCCCACGTGGATTAATTCGCCACGTTTAACAATGAAAAAGTGCCAGGGTGCAAGGTACAGCCCAGCCTGGGCAAGGGAGAGCCCTTGGTCATCTGCATCTTTGCCTCTTCCTATCCGCAGGCTGCAGCGGGGAGGCTGTCGGCACGGAATCCTGTTTAAAACCTCCTGATGGCAAATCTGCCAATCTGTAATGCAGAGAGATCAAGCAGAAGGTCAGCGAGCTGCTTTTGTCCTGCTTTGCCCGGAACTAGCTCCCAACTGCAGCTCCCCGACCTGAGGCTAGAAAAGGACATGCAGGGCTCTGTTGCCAAGCTCCCTCTCCGCTCCTGAACAATAAGAGCAGGACGTCTTTCTGAGACCCTTTCCCAGCAATCGTATACCTCCCTCACCCCCACACCCACTCCCTTGACTCTGTCCAGTTTAAACCTTCTCTCTTGTAATGGTCTCATAGTTAACTTCTCAATTATGACTCACTCAGATTCATTTTATTTTGAGGGAACTAATTATAACCATTTCCCACCCCCTACTGGATTGCTCCCACTGAAATAGAAGAATTGCAAGACATTTGAACACACTGAGTTTATGTTATTTGTGAAAACAAAAGTACAGATATTTGTATAAGATGAATGTGCATATATACATATATATCCATGTGCCTCATTCAAAGAGAGATCCTGTTATTTACAGCCAAATGCATCAGCAAAAGGTCAACATACCAACTCCTTTATTTTCAGTACTAAAAATAAACACACTGGAATAAATATTCAATTACAAATATCAGGGACACTGCAGACTGTCTGTATCCCACACTGAGTTCGCCTGGCTAGCTTCCTAATTTACGGAGACTTGGAAATCGTGAGCGGTATTTCTCAAAACAAGGAAAAGAAAAGGACACAGGAAACAAAGAGATTCAGAAACGCGACTCTCTCTAGACACCCATCTGATGCACACATGCAGCACACTGAAAAGCAAACAGGGTCCTTACAATACACACAGATGCACTTGGTACTTACACAGGCACAAAGAGCTAATGCAACTGTGACTGCATGCACAGATTACATGCATATGCATAGACTTACGATACATATACAGAATACATGCAAACACTCATATATAGCGCACACACATGGTAATCAGTGTACTGCTAGTGAAATATGTCTCTGTGTGTCACCATCTGGGAGAGTAAATGCTGTCCTTTATATGTCAGCTCCCCTTTTGTCTTTCTGTCCAGCTCTGCTTTGTGCAACCAGTGAAGACAGACACAAATGCCCTCCCTCCCCCCACACCCACACTTTCTCCCTTTCAACGTGAGGAGGTGGAGGGTATCAGTTCAACTCAGCAGCTGCCACTGCCATACAACTCGTGCAATAATTTCCATGTACTTAGCGTGTGCAATGATCCACATACCATAACGAGCATATCTCCAGCCTGTTCTCACAGTGAGTTGCATGCGTGCATATACACACACAGAGCACGTTCAATGACTCCCACACTATCTCCATGTAGCTAGCATGTGCAGCAACTCCCGTGCAATAATCTGCATGTGCATAACACGCTCGCGTGTCTCTGCGGTGAGTGGCTCCCAGTTACAATCTGCATGTGTTGTATGTTCAGCGACTCCCACATACTATTTTGCGTGCCTGCCCAATGTCTCCTACTCAACCACGTTCAGACATACCAGGAGGGGGAAGCGCGGCACGAGGGAAGCTAGAGGAAGGAGAGTCGATGAATCCCATTAGGGCTCCCAGTACCACTAATAAAGAAGAAAGAGGCTGTTACTCACCCCTCAGGGCGGGGCGCTGCGTCAGGGGAAGGGGCAGGGAGGGCAGCAGCTGGGCCCGGGTCGGCGCAGTCCTGGAGCCGGGCGCTACACACTGAGCGGAGCAGCGCACGCAGGCGCACCGGGACAGCCTCCTGGGCGGAGCGGGAGGGGCGCGGGTCTAGCGGCAGCGGCTGCCCCTGGGAGGGGCTCCGGGGAGCGGGGGCTGCTTGGGCTAGTGCCCGGGAGAGTGGTTTGCCCTGAAGAGAGATGCCCCCCGGTAATGCGCACCGATCACTAAAGGAGCCAGTGAGCGAGTTAGGCCATTTAGCAGGAGCCCTGTGAGTCCCAGGATATTAGCGAAACAACATCTTGTACTGGGCCAACGTGGGGGCTGGAAGCATCTCTCTCTCACCAACAGAAATTGGGCCAATAAAAGCTATGACCTCACCCACCTTGTCTCCGAAGTATTCCTAGGAATATAGAAATTGCCATATCATCATGGGCAGCGCATGCATCCAGCTGGGGGAGGCTAGCCCCCAGCCCTGCCTCTTCCAGGTAAGCCCCCTTCCCCCCCCCCACCATGGACACCGGCCACTGCCCCAGGCTAGCACCCCCAGCCCTGGTGTGGCCCTAGCCACAGAGTGCCGGGTGGCACAGCCCCAGCCCAAGCGTGCCAGGAGGGCGGATGGCACGGTCCCACCTCCAGAGAGTTGGGTGGGTAGGCAGCATGCACAGCTCCAGCCACTGCACAGGGGAATGGAGAAGGGTGGGCTAGAGCAGGAGGGGGCTAGGGGCAGAGCATTGGCGGGGCCGCACCTGGCTGTTTGGGAAGGCACAGCCTCCCCCCCCCATGATACCCGCCACCCATGCATACCATGTCAGACTAAACGATGATGCACCTAGTCCAGTGTCCTGTATCTGATGGTGGCCCCCAGAAACCCTGCTAAAAGCAACTATGGAATAACCTAATCACAGGGAAAGTTTCTTCTTAAGCCCCTTTAGTTAGAGGTTGTTGTGTGCCCTGAAGCATGAGGGTTTAGATCCCTTCCAAAACTTTGAGGTTTTTTGTTTGTTCAGTTTGGTTAAATCCCTACTACGGTAGAACCAGTGGCGTAGCCAGGTTCTAAGTGAAGGGGGAGCAAACATAAAAAAGGCACCCCCCCTTGGCTCCTCCTCCGGCCGCTCCGCTCCTCCGGTCACTCTGCGGCCATGCTGCGCCCCCCCCCCCCTCGGAGGGGCTCGGGGGGGGGGGAGCGGGCGCTGCTCGCTTCTCCCGGGGGCTGGGGGGAGCGGAGCAGTGGGGTGGGCAGCAGCTGGCAAGATCCCCTCTCCCCGGCAGCTTCCTACTTCCTTCGACCCGGGCAGCCCAACATTTTTTTTCAAAAGTGGCGCCTGCCGGGCCAGCGCTGGGCTCCTGCAAGCAAAGGGGGGGCAGGCAGCACGGCCGGACTCCGGGGGAGCCATTGGTGGGGGGGTTGGCGGGCGCGGCTGGAGGAGCGAAGAGGCCGGCTCCTCGGCCATCGCGCCCCACACTCAGCGTGGCCCCAACATCGCCGCGGCCGTCTCCTGCGGCAGCTCAGGGCTCAGCGGCCGAGCACTCTGCAGCTGGCAGGCGGATCCCCTCTCCCCGGCAGCTTCCTGGCATGTTGTCCCCGCCCCTTGCTAATGCTGGGCTGCCCTGGCCGAGGGAAGCAGGAAGCTGCCAGGGAGAGGGGATCTACCCGCCAGCTGCGGAGCGCTCTGCCGCCGAGCCCTGAGCCGCCGCAGTAGGTAGCCGCGGCGATATTGGGGCCGCGCTGAGCGTGGGGCACGATGGCCGAGGAGCCGGCCCCTTCGCTCCTCCGGCCGCCCCCCACCCCCAATGGCTCCTCTGGAGTCCGGCCGTGCTGCCCGCCCCCCCTTGCCTGCAGGAGCCCAGCGCTGGCCCGGCAGGCGCCGCTTTTGAAAAATGTGCTGAGGGGAAGCGGCTACTTCCCCTGAACCCCGCTAGCTACGCTCCTGAGTAGAACCTCAGAGGTACGAACACCAGATATACAAACTGACCAGTCAAACCACACATCTCATTTGGACCTGGAAGTACACAATTAGACAGCAGCAGAGACAAAAAAAATAATAATACAGTACAGTACAGTACTGTGTTAACCATAAACTACTTAAAAAATAAAAAAGGAAAGCAGCATTGTTCTCCTGCATAGGAAAGTTTCAAAGCTGTATTAAGTCAATGTTCAGTTGTAAACTTTTGAAAGAACAACCATAACGTTTTGTTCAGAGTTACGAACAATCTCCATTCCCGAGGTGTTCGTAACTCTGAGTTTCTACTGTACTATTATCAGAGGGGTAGCCGTGTTAGTCTAGATCCGTAAAAAGCAACAGAGAGTCCTGTGGCACCTTTAAGACTAACAGAT